GTCAACAGGGATCTGATCTTAGTCTTGCCATTAACTGTCAGGGTAAATCACAAAATCTGAGTTTACCTGCTTACAAAATTAGGGGTAACACTGTAGAGTTTTAAGGTCCCTAGAAAATCTTTAATCCTACGCTTTTATTTTTATTCCTGTTTGATTGTATTTATCCAGCTTAAATCAGACATTCAAGATCATGTCATTTGTTACCTGAATCTATCATTCACTTATAGGAAAACAATTATATTTTTATAGATTTTTATGACTGTATTCCTTGTTTTGCATAGTACTATAAATAACCATTCTTGAAGGGATGCTGTTTTATTGAAATTCGTATACATATAATTGAAGGATGCTTTGGTCTGCCAAAGTTACACAATGTTTTGCTTCCAATGATATTTCTGTTTGTTTATTGTCCTTACTGGATGCAAATCCTTCAGTATGATAATGATGATGAAGAATTCTCCGTGTGCCAAAGGACAGATAAGACGAGTTCCGTGACCAAAGTTCACATTTTGTTACGGGGCCCTAGTGGTGCAGTGGTTAAGCATTTGGCTACTAACCAAAAGGTTGGCAGTTCTAATCCACCAGCCACTCCTTGGAAACCCTATGGGGGGAGTTCTAGTCTGTCATATAGGGTTGCTATGAGCCAGAATCGACTGGATGGCAATGGGTTTGGTTTTTCCTGTTTTATACACACACACATACACACAATGTTGTGAACTACTAGAATCAAATAGTTTTCTTTTTTTTCTTTGTTACTGATTTTTTGCAGGTGGAAAAAAAGAGGAAAATAGTAATATCCTTTGGAAAACTGATAACCTTGGGAGACTGAGGGACGTTTATTTCTTTTGAGAGCTTTTTGCTTCTCTTAGCATCAGTGAACTTAAAGATTTGGACAATGATTTCTTTGTCATTCCCTTTTGGAAGCTTTCCACAAGAAGGAGATGGTTTGCTTGTGAAGTTCAAATCCTGAGCTGATGTGTGTAATGATGAAATATATTCTTCATTTGGCCAAATGAGGGCTCTTATTTGGAAGTAAAAGACACTTGTGCTATAAATGAATGTGGGATTTTAGACATATTGTGCCCTTGAAGGACTCTGGGATTGAGCAGGAATGGCTAAAGGACAGGAGCTCTTCTGTGGTTACCCATTGCCATCAAGTCGATTTCAACTCACAGCCACCCTAAAGGACAGAGTAGAACTGCCCTATAGGGTTTCCAAGGACCATCTGGTGGATTTTGAACTGCCGACATCAGGGTTTCCTTCTGTGGTTAGATAGGGACATTAACCAGCCTCCCCTCTCTTCCTCCCTCCCTTCCAGACCAACAGCTACTGATTAATGGCGTTCAAGCGCAAATCCCTGCAGTCAAAGTAAACTCCTCAAGGCCATCCTCCTCACTCCCCTAGATTTCAGACTTTACTTTTCCCTCCCTTCCCCCTGAGGCTCTGGTATCACATTTCTTTCCTCCTTTGTAATTCACCCACTCTTTGAGTATATAAATGTTAGAACAACCCCCCGCCACACACACACACACTGTATCCTACCAAAATAAAAACAAATCCATTGTTTTGAAGTCAGTTGTGACCTATAGGGACCCTATCTATAGAACAGAGCAGAACTGCCCCATTGGGTTTCCAAGGCTGGAATCTTGGTGGGATTAGACTGCCACATCTTTCTCCTATGGAGTGGGTGGTAGATTTGAACACCAACCCTTTTGTTAGCAGCCAAGCACCTAGCCACTTGGCCACCAGGGCTCCTACCAATGTCATAACCTAAGTTAATACTCAGTGCTTTGTGGTTTTCTCCTGTGGACATTTGCGCTGCCATTCTGTATTTAAGTTTCCCCTTATTAGAAGTCTTTGGTCCAATCATCCTGACTTTTGCAGCCTTTTTATTCAGAATCTGAGCCAAGCCTTCAAATGAGCCATTGAGTCTGCTTTACCCCAAATGAGTAATTGAGTCTGCTTTACCCCAGTGACTTAGGTCTGCACCTTTGGTGTTGCCCGACCACTGGCCAGACTGGACTCCATCAACGCAAAAGTTTCTTTTTTTTCTTCATTCAGATAGAGAAGAATTAAATCATAAAATCCCCACTTCCCACTGCCGTCAAGTTGATTCCGACTTACAGCGCCCCCTCAGGGTTTCCAAGGCTGTAAATTTCCACGGAAGCAGACTGCCACATCTTTATCCCACAGAGCCGTTGGTGGTTTCGAACTGCCCACCTTTCGGTTAGCAGTGGATGCCCTCAACCACTGCACAACCAGGGATCCTTTAAATTGTACAATAAGATATAATACACTATTATAATATTGTGTTCTCTAGGAGTGTCACACACAATGCCTCTCAATCTAAAGATATTGATGGTTGCTTTCCTTTTTATCCCCATAGGGCATGTCCACAGACTGGAGAACTATTAGCCCAATTAAGTGTAAAATAATGGAGCTGCCTAGCTGTTACGTGACCTGCTCTGTCCATTGTGACTACAAGACCTAGACTAGATTGACTGAAAGGATGGGTGATGGTGGCTGGCTGAGCAATTTTATCTTTGTTATTGCTGTTGTTAGATGCCCCCAAGTCAGTTCCAACTCATGGTGACCTTATGTACAATGTGACAAATCACTGTCCGGTCCTGTGCCATCCTCACAGTGTTGCCAGCTTTCAGCCCATTGTTGTAGCCACTGTGTCAATCCATCTCTTTGAGGGTCTTCCTCTTTTTAGCTGACCCTCTACTTTACCAAGCATAATGTCCGTCTCCAGGAGCTGGTCCCTCCTGACGACATGTCCAAAGTATGTGAGACGTAGTCCCGCCATCCTTTGCTTCCAAGGAGCGTTCTGGCTGTACTTCTTCCAAGGCAGATTTGTTCATTTTTCTAGAATTCAGTGATATATTCAATCTTCTTCACCAACACCATAATTCAAAGGCCTCAGTTCTTCTTTGGTCTTCTTTATTCATTGTCCAGCTTTTGCATGCATATGAGGCAGTTGAAAAGCCATGGTTTGAGTCAGGAGCACCTTAGTCCTCAAGGTGACATCTATGCTTTTGAACACTTGAAAGAGATCTTTTGCAGCAGGTTTCCCTAATGCAATATGTCATTTGAGTTCTTGACTGCTACTTTCATGGGCTTTGATTATGTATCCAATCAAATTTTACTAAAGGAAATCCTTGACAACTTCAGTATTTTCTCTGTTTATCATGATGTTGCTTATTGGTCCAGCTGTGACAATTTTTGTGTTCTTTATGTTGAGCTGTAATCCATACTGAAAGCTGTAGTCTTTGATCTTCATCAGCAACTTTCAAGATACCCTAGCTGCATGAAGGGAGAAAATACACAGTGAAAGAAATGCTGCTTTTTGACACTTGAGTTCAGAACACTTTGGTCCCAACCCTGCTTTGGCCACTGTATTCCATGTAACTCTACAGAAGTCACTTACTTTTCTTAATATATTTTATTTTTTGACGCACAGTATGAGGGGAACAGTGGTGCTGCCAATTAATGTCTGTCGTAGCTCTGCAATTATATAATGCAACTATTTGAATTAGGCAAGCACATTTGACTGATTTAAATAAACTATCTTAATTTTATGTTATTACAGTAATATAGCATTTGATTTCAGGAAAAACTGGTATTTGCTTACATCTTCTTCTTATGCTACCAATAAAACATCCCATCCTGCCCATTTTTTCAGGGAAGAGGTTTAACTGAAATTTAGCTTTGTAAGAAAACTTCATTGAACTATGCTTCTTATCAGTTGAAACTACAAATTAAATTAGTTCACAATGTTATCTTGTTGTTTCTTTCCTTTATGGATCACAAAATTCTTCAATATGATGATGATGGTGGAGAAGCGTGTCATGTCATGCTGTGACAAACCAGGAAGATAAAAGAGGAGATAACTGAAGAAATTTAGCTAAAATATTTTGAGTTAAAGGACGTAACATGAAAAAAAAAATGATGCCCATCACTAGTGAGTTATAAAGTAACTGCGGGATGAAAATAGCAAAGGAAATGGGCAGAAGAGCATGAAAGACAGGCGAGATTATACAGAATAAAAATTCTTGGAAAGGTGGTTTACTTTCATAACTAGCTTAGTGATACAGTTTTATCAGTTACTATTTGCCTTTATAATAGAAAGGCCACATAAATTTTGAACTAATGGAAGGATGCGTTATGCATTAGACTGCATTGAGAAAAGGGTTGGTGTTCAAATCCACCAGCCACTCCACAGGAGAAAAATGTAGCCGTCTAATCCTTTAAAGATTCCAGCCTTGGAAACCCAGTGGGGCAGTTATGCTCTGTCCTATAGATAGGGTCCCTATAAGTCACAAGCGACTTGAATACAATGATTTTTTTTTTTTTGTATGATAATAGTGTGGGGGGTGGGGCTTTTTCTAACATTTATATACTCAAAGAGTGGGTGAATTATGTAAAATATATATATTTGATATATAAATTACATAGATATATCAACTTGATATTGCTTTTTGATGTTGACTCCAATCTGAATATTATCTAAATAAAAGCAAAGGATTGAAAAATATCAAATCACTAACCATTTTGAAATATTTTTTTCATTTCAATCTACAGTTATGATTCTTCAGATCTATCTATTTATCTAGCCATAGGTATGTTTGTGATGTTAAGAACCAAATTTAATTTTCAGCCAATGAAATAGTTTCCCTCACTGATAACTGAATAGGGTGTAATCATCATTGCATACACATAATTGAGTTTCATAAACAAAAGAAAAACCACTTTGCATTTTTTTTAATTAGGAAATTTTATTGTAAGGTGACTAGCTAGTCCCATCAGTTATAAAAGCAAAAGTAGAGGATTCCAGGGTTGTGACAGAGATACATGTAAATTAAAGAATCCTCTGAAATTCTGAGATCCTAAGTACTTTTGTTTAAAAGGTCCCGGCATGATCTTCCTTGTCCAATAATTAAGGTCAGAGTTGGAAAGTTCCCATATAATTTCAGATGTTAGGTTATGGAGGTAGTAGTTCAATAGAAGCTGGAGAATCCATATCCACCCTGGAAAGATGGACGGCAGCCGCCATATCCATAGCCTCCGAATCCAGAGCCAAATCCATAGCCTCCAAAGCTGGAGCCAAATCCTCTATAGCCAAAGCCATGGCCCAGTCTGCCAAAGCTCCCACAGCCACAGCCATAGCCACTGCCCAGGCCTCTGAAGCCTCCATAGCTATAGCCCAGGCCTCCATAGTGGCGCCCGTAGTAGCTCATGGTGTCAGGAGTGGTGAGTGGCTTGCTGTTCAAGGATAGATCCTGAATATGAATGTCAACATCTGTCTGTGCAGCGATGCTTTTATACCCTGTTCAGATCATGTGATAAAACACATGCCTTCTATTTTTGTGACATTCTATGTGTTGTGCTTACTCAACACAACCTGACATATAAAGAGCTCCTCAAACTCACTAAAATGTTTGAGCTTGCGTTGTTGCCTAGTTACGGTGTTACATAAACAGATGACATCATTTTTATGAGAAGGAATTGAGTATCTTCGAAGTCTGCACATACCACGGCCTAAACAGAATTCTTCATAGCCAGGTACACTCCATAATACTTATTTTACAGAGTTGTATTTGAAAATTAAATATTGCTTCACCTCTGACTCTCCTTGGATTTGATGCTTCACTTACAATTCAATGAAAGAAACTGGTCAATACAGGGCTCTACAATTTATAATATCTGTCTAAAGGCATCTTATGCCTCATACTGAGGTCTTTTTATCAAAGCTGAGGGAACAAGTGAAAACCTGGTGGTGTCAGCTCATCTTCTGTGAACACCAGTAAAAAATTTCATGAAAAAGAAATAAAGTCATCCTTTTTTGTTATTATTATTTTAGAATATTCACCATTATAACCAGTATTCACTTTTTGGCTTTGCAAACTAATTTAAAAAATAAAAATCATTTTGGTTTACGACCATGGGATGATATTATTCAACAAGAAGTCCAAGTCACAGTAATCAAATATCTATTTCATAAGCATTTATAAATTGTTTTAAATGCATCTAGATATTTTTAATAGCATTTGTATTTAGCATTATTTACTAGTTATTTTAATTCAAGCCCAGCTAAACTAAAAATTAGTAGGCTCAAGACTCTAAATCAAAATTAAAAATACTAAATAAAACGAGATGCTCGAGGTGGAAAGTAGACTAATCCTTATAAACTCAGCTGTGATAATGGCAGGAATATACGACCAAAATTTCAAGATGCTTTATTTGAAAGCACTCAGTAAGGACAGCACACAAGGAAAGGGAGAACCAGCGTAATGGAGCAGAATGTCCGGGATCGCGCAAACTGACTTCTGCTCTAGACACTATCACTCATGCTATTTGTGGGTCTTAAAAAATTATTTAACTCTTTTGAGTTTCTTTTCCTGAGACATGAGAATGAGGGGAGCACTGGGTAAACTTTATTTCGTCTCTGCCAGCTCTGAAAACACTTCTACCAAGACACTGTTGAGTCAGTTTTATGGAATCTGATTAACTCAAATGGAAGAAATTAATTTTTGTATGAATGTATAATTTATTGTTATGATTACTATGAGACTTTATTACATATTTTCTGTATTCTAATACCAATTTTCAATATCAATGAGCAATGTCCAATTTTTACAAGATGGTGGTAAAATGAAACTCAACTATAGTTTGAAATTATAGAGCTTCAG